CACAAGATAAAACATTATTAAAACACCACAATAAAAATTTTAACAGTCAAAATTATCTAGTTAAAATAGTATAACATTAATAAAAAATATACAAAAAGGGCCAAAACATACTGCAGAAATAATCCAGTTTGAGACCACTTTAATTACTCTTGCTCAGTGCTAGGGAATTGTGGGAACTGTCCCCAAAATTCCCTAGCACTGTTTCAGGGCAGTTAAATTGGTCTCAAACTGGATTATTTCTGCAGTCTGTTTCAGCCCAAAGTTAAAAACATCACTAAAACACGCACTCCATATAAAACCACCCTTTCCTGATTATATGTTAAAAGGCCTATATTTCTTGATAATTTCAAACATTAAAAACCAACATATGCACACAAATATCTCCAGAAAAGTAGCAGTTCTAGGCTTGCTACAGTTATAATCTTGACCAGTTGGTCATCTGTTTTGATAAATTTTGTTGCCATACTTAGCAAGCAGCAAAGTATCTCCAGAAAAGCAGCAGTTCTACTAGGCTTGCTACAGTTATAATTTTTGTTGCCGTACTTTGCAAGCAGCCCCCGTACAGCCAAAAACAACAACAGGGTGCAAATTCAATTCCGTTTCTCCAGAAAACAAGGGACCAAACAGACAGGCAAAATAAATAAGTTCCCAGCCACTTTGAAGGTGGAGTGTTTAGACAATGCACACCTTGAAGGCGGATGGAAACTGGACTGAAAACTGGCTAAAAACATGAGCAAGAAGAAGCCAGGATAGTACAACTCAAGGCGGAAAATGCATTTTTGCATCTGCATATAAATGCAGGATGTGTGCGGCTGCAGCAAAAGAAATAAATGAAAGTGTGACAGACAACTCCAATGGATGTAATTACAGTGCAATACAGTGGCCTTCCACATTCACTGGGGTTAGAGATGAATGTGGAAAAAATACAAATAAAAAACTACTATTCTTTTTACCTAAGAGAACACCTCTCTAGAAATCTCCAGGTCCTCCAGCGCAGGTCTATGGTCAACATCTGCCAGAAATTGATCATAGAATCAAGTTGAAGGACTTACAAATGCCTAGAGAAGTGTTTTCTCTAGGAATTTCTAGGTACTCCAGCACAACTCTATGGTCAACTTCTGGCAAAGTTGCGCTGGAGGACCTAGAGAGAACATATGAATCAAAACTGCAAAAGTCAAAGCTGCAAATGTGGAGGGCCAAGTGTACAACTATAATGCTTGGTAAAGTGGAGGGCAACAAATTGGAGAAGTGCATTCCATATGGATAGATGGAGGTTTCCTAATTTTATAGGATGGTTTTATCTTTTTAAATTATTTTAAGCCACCTTGAATCCCATCTTGGGAGACAGGATACATTGTTGCTGTTGTGTGCTTTCAAGTCACTTCTGACTTATGGCGACCCTATCATGGGGTTTTCTTGGCAAGATTTGTTCAGAGGAGGTTTGCCATTGCCTTCCTCTGAGGCTGAGAGCATGTCACTTGCCCAAGGTCATCCAGTGAGTTTCATGGCTACGCCAGGATTTGAACCCTAGTCTCCAGCGTCGTAATCCAACATTCAAACCACAACGCCACACCATGCCATACAAAATCCTAAATTATTCTACTTTACTATAGGGCCAAACCCCAAAATTATCGTACCTTGCTATAGGCCCAAAATCCAAAATTTCTGTAATTCGCTATAGGGCCAAAACCCAAAATTACTGTACTTTGCTATAGGGCCAAACCCCAAAATTATTGTACTTTGCTTTAGGGCCAAACCCCAAAATTATTGTACTTTACTATAGGATCAACACAGCTGCCTATGGGAGGTTGCAGACTGCCAGAAATAGTGCAAATTGAGTCCACTTTAAGGTTTAGGGTTAGTGCTAGGGAGTAATGGGATTTTTTTTTTCTGAGACATTGAGCCTTCTCTGTCAGAGAGCTCTGGTGCCACAGTAAAATACAGTTCCCATGATTCCCTAATCCTAAACCTAACCCTTAAAGTGGACTCAATTTGCACTATTTCTGGCAGTCTGCAAAAGCCCAATGTTTCCAGAACCAGGACAGGGATTATAGAGCCAGGATGCCATTCGTTCAATCCCACAATGCCTTGCTTTTGGCATAGTTTTTCTGGCGCCCAGCAGCAATTTCGTAACCATAGCGACAGGGAAAGGACTAGTCGTCCATGGGGAAAACAGTCCCACTTTGATGACGTCACGAGCACAATGTTCCATCGCTTTGGGCTTATGTCCCGCCTTAGCATTCCAAAGCATTGAGCCACGGCAGTTAAAGCAGTGTCAAAACAGTCGTGGTGTTGTTTCTCCTTCAAAGCTGTTTCACATTTATGGCGACCCTAAGGCGACTCTATCACAAGATTGTTCTTGGCAAGATTTATTCAGAGGGGTTTTGCCATTGACCTCCTCTGAGGCTGAGAGAGTGTGACTTCCATGGGCAAGCCAGGATTTGAACCCTGGTCTCCCAGTGTCCTAGGTCCAAAACACACTGCAGAAATAATCCAGTTTGAGACAGCTTTAACTGCCCTGGCTCAGTGCTAAGAAATCCTGGGAATTGCAGTTTATTGTGGCACCAGAGCTCTCTAACAGAAGGCTAAAAGACTCACAAAAGTACAGTTCCCAGAATTCTCTAGCATTGAGCCAGGGCAGTTTAAGTGGTCTCAAACTGGATTATTTCTTTGAACCCTGGTCCAAAACTAAAACCAATACAACAATAATAAGCAGAAGCAGCAGGAGGAAATGTTATACTGGATTCAGACTACAATCGTATTATCATTATCATTATCTCTTTCTATCCCATCTTTTTCTCAGATTGGGACTCAAAAGTGGCTGCATCTGCACTTCAGAAATAATCCAGTTTGAGACCATTTTAACTGTGTTTATGGAATTCTGTGAACTGTAGTCCGTTGTGGCACCAGAGCCCTCTGACAAAGAAGGCTAAATGTCCCACAAAATTACAATTCCCATTCCATAGCATTGAACATGGCAGTTAAAGCGGTGTTAAAATGGATTATTTCTGCAGTGCAGGTGCAGCCAACGATTAAAACAACAGTAACGTAAACCCTAGTTCAGACAAGCACATTCTGGGCAAGTGCTTGATTTTCTGGCATTTGCAAGGCTTTTGTGCCTCGGATCTCTAGAAAATTATTAATTTTGGGGGGTTGCAGACTGCCAGAAATAGTGCAAATTGAGTCCACTTTTAGGGTTAGGGCTAGTGCTAGGGAATCATGGGAATTGGGTTTTTTTTCTGAGACATTGAGCCTTCTCTGTCAGAGAGCTCTGGTGCCACAATAAAATACAGTCCCCATGATTCCCTAACCCTAACCCTTAAAGTGGACTCAGTTTGCACTATTTCTGGCAGTCTGCAACCCCTTTTTCTGGCTGAGCTGAGGAAAGCGGGTAGTGATTTCCAAGCTCCATACATGCATATTCTCCAATTATCTTTATTTACCAGTAAGAGTTTATTTCCTGTCTAAAAATTCCACCATAAATCTAATTGCTAGTCCCAACCGCTGTAAACCCCTTGAATCAGTGGAGATTTAGTAAATCAGCTTCCTGTAAATGCAATTGATTTAATGGTTTTACTCTTGTTGAGGACTACTAATTTGATTTATGTCTCTTCTGTCTTTGGTGGAGATTATGGAAATTTTTTTAAAAATAACCTGTGGAAGCACGCTCAAAGTTCACAGATTGTTTTTCTTTTTAAGAAGGAACTCAGGAGAGTAAGAGAAGACCAGAGCATCATATAATATTTGAAAAAGATATCACATTCAGCTTTATTTAAAATCTTTTTTAAAAACATTCCCATTTCTGGACCTTCCCAAATCTTTAAAGTTGTGTTATGACTCCAGTATTATGGATCATCGATGCATCATATCCAATTCTTCTTTCCTTCAAAAGCTAAGACAGGAGAGGCAACTGAAGGATAAATCTGCAGTAAATACAATATTCAAGTAGGTAGGAATGTCCCTTTATTCAATGTTCGGATTACGAGATAAAGCCAAGGGGGAAGGATTTTGAAACCATGGGGGAAACTGTTTTGTTCCATGTTGTTTCCACATTTTTAAAAGACATGAGCATATTTAGTATATTGTTTTAAATATTAACATATTAGCAATGTTAGCACCCCTGACACTTTGTTACAATTGGAAGATAATAATATATAACTTGATTTGGCGTAACATTATCATGCTTGATATATTAAAAGTACAATTTATTCAGAATATATAATTACCAATTTAATTTTGTTTTAAAAAATTGTTGATGTTTGTGTTAAAATTTCTGTTTTGTTACAGATGGAACTACAAGGTTCTACATTGCAAGCAGCACCTGTAAGGAACCTCTCTAGTTTTGTCAGTTTGAAGAAAAATAGATTGAGTTTGGACAAATTCTTCATGTCTTGAGGAAGTTGTCTGTCTATTAAACAAACTTATCCTGGAATGGGAGGCAAGAGGTTAAAGAAATATAAAATGTTAGATGGGAACTTTTGTCTATTTCAATAAGTTTCCATTTGTCTGGCTGCCCAAAGTAGAGGATGCATGAGGGAAACAATCTGAAAACTTGATTTATACCCATTCTAAACTGGCAAAGGAATGTAAGAAAATCCATGTCAGCCCAGGCCAAAAGACTGTCTAATGATCCAATAACCTTTTTACACCACACAGTTATAACACTACAAACTGTCATGGTTCCCTCCCATGCATTTGGGATTTGCAGTTTAGGGAGGGGGATTTAGAATTTTCATCCAGAAAGCTCTAGTGCCACACCAAACTGCAAAGCCCAGGAATCCACAAAATACAACTGTGGCAGTTATAAAATCTACCATGCAGATCTAATCTGCGCTGCAGAAATAACGCAGTTTGACTCGACTTGAACTGTCATGGCTCAATGCTAGGGAATTATGTGGTTTGTAGTTTGTTGTAACATCAGAGTTCTTTGACAGAGAAGGCTAAACATTACACAAAAGTGAGGCTGAGAGCCTGTGACTTGCCCAAGGTCACCTAGTGGGTTTCATGGCTGAGCTAGAATTTGAACTCAGGCCTCCAGAGTTGCAGTCCAAGACTCAAACCACTATGCCACACTGACTCTCATGAATTCATCTACACACTGTAGAAATAATACAGTTTGGCCCATGTTAACTGCCATGGCTCCATCCAACAGAATCCTGGGATTTGTAGTTTTGTGAATGTTCAGCCAGAGAGCTCTAGTGCCACACCAAACCACAAAGCCCAGGAGTCCACAAAATACAGCCATGGCAATTATAAAATCTGCCATGCAGATCTAATCTGCACTGCAGAAATACAGACAGCTCTCCTTATCCACGGATTCAACCATCCACGGCTTTAAAATACAGTATTTTTAAAAAGTACAAATTCCAAATATATATATATGGGACACCATTTTGCTATGCCATTATATTTAATGTGACTTGAGCATCCATGGATTTTGTTATCCACAGGGGTCCTGGAACCAAACCCCAGTGGATAACAAGGGCCCACTGTAATGCAGTTTGACACCACTTTAACTGTCATGGCTCAATGCTAGGGAATTCTGGGATTTGCAGTTTGTTGTGACATCAGAGTTCTTTGACAGAAAAGGCCAAAGTTAAGCATTACACAAAACTACAAATCCCAGAATTCCATAGCATTGAGCCACGGCAGTCAAAGCAGTATCAAACTGAATTATTTCTGCAGTGCAGATTAGATCACAATACTGTAGGCTGAAAGGGCTCCAGAATTCTTTTTTTGACTGTGGCCAGGCAGGTGTCTCTGGAAATCCCACAAACAGAACATGAAGGTAGGATAAAAAATATAACCAGTGGGTATATTTGTCGGCTTGCTTTGTGGAAGGATAAGAGATACATACACAAATAGTGCAAGGAGGGCTGTGTGCATCAAAGGGCGGGATATAAATAAATTTTATTATTATTATTATTATTAAAATGGCAATTCAAAAATTATTACAAAGAAAAAGGTGGGAGTGGGAAAGATAAACCTGGATGTACATTTTCTCATCCAGCTTTTCAAACCCTTATTTTTTAGGGGGAAAGTGAACTTACAGTTGTCTTCCATTACTTTATTATGCAGTCATCCCTCCACATTTGCGGATTTTACTTTTGCGGGTTTGATTATTCACGGATTGTATTAATATGATCTCTCTAAGAATATCTAGGTCCTCTAGTGCAACTCTATGGTCGACTTTAACCAAAATTCACACTGAAGGACCTAGAGAACACTCCACTAGGCATTTGCAGCTCCTCCAGCGCAATTCTATGGTCAGTGTCTGGCAAATGTTGACCACAGAGTTGCACTAGATGACCTAGAGATTCCTAGAGAGATGTTCTCTCAGGTAAAAACACAGTGTTTTTTTTGTGGTTTTTCCACTTTCATGGGGGTCCTGTGCCCCTAACCCCAGTGAATGTGGAGGGACCACTTTAATAATTTCTCCACTATTTCGCAGTGCGCAAGGCTCTGGTAGTCTTTCTTATTACCCATCTGTGTTAGTGACATGACTGTAGGACTCAGGATTGTTCTCCAGTGATTTTGCTTGTTTTGACTTGCAGGGGAAGGTAAAAGGTAAGCTCTTCTGACATCTCCCGAAACCTTTCCTTATAAGGCGCTGTGTGTTATCTTCTAATCTGATGAGTAAAAGAGACCTAGGATGTATCCACACTGCAGAAATAAAGCGGTTTGACACCACTTTGATTGTCACGGCTCCATCAGGATTTGTAGTTTGGTGAGGTATTCAGCCTGGTCGGTCAGAGAGCTCTGGTGCTTCACCAAATCCCAGGATTCTGTAGGATAGAGTTATGGCCATTAAAGTAGTGTCAAACCGCTTTATTTCTGCAAAGCGGATGCACCGTCATGAAACGCGAATGATTGGAGCTGGCATCACCTAGGGTCAAAAATTAATCTCTTCCATATTTTTAAAATAAATTTCTCAATTGTATTTATTTGGTCCTGATAGTTAAGTCCTAGAGTTCAGTAGGACTTACTCCTAATTAAAGGTGCAAACTGCCAGAAATAGTGCAAATTGAGTCCACTTTAAGGGTTAGGGTTAGGGAATCATGGGAACTGTATTTTATTGTGGCACCAGAGCTCTCTGACAGAGAAGGCTCAATGTCTCAGAAAAAAACCAATTCCCATGATTCCCTAGAACTAACCCTAACCCTTAAAGTGGACTCAATTTGCACTATTTCTGGCTCCTATTATTAGGCAGAGTGAGATGGACAGCCCCAGTTAGCAGATTGTAGGTTATTACCATAAATTGGCTATTTGTTATCACTGTAGTTTTAACTGCTAAAGATGGAGAGAGGAACTTGAGGGATAACTGGATTGCTTTTCAATTTGGTGCATCTTGGCAACTTTTGCTACTCTGCCTTTTTCAGCTAAATGTTTTGGGCTGGCCCTGATCACAACTGTGGGCCTCACACCATTCTGGATCTTGATCTTTGTGGATGCGTCCACACTGCAGAAATAATCTGTTTTGAAGGTGCTACAACAAACTACAGCTCCCAGAATGCATAGCATCGAGCCATGGCAGTTAAAGTGGGGTCAAACTGGATTATTTCTGCAGTGCAGATGCAGACCCAGTAAATCTTGCCATACTTCAGTTGGTTCTTGATTGTCTGTAGTCACTCACAGCGTTACAGGAAATAAGCAGCGGAAACTTTGTTGGCTGTAAACAAAAAAAAGTATACCAAATCTGTATTGTAAGAATTGTAAAACTTAAAAATAGTATTTCAACTCCACCTTTCCCTCCTCTGTCCCAGCTTGTATCATTTTGTTCACTGATGAAGAGATCTGCGTATCTTGAAAGCTAGTACAAAATGTGATGACTTTGGGGTTTGCCAAAGAAATGTATTAATATGCTGTTGTTCATAATACCATGTTTCTTACATTTACAACTTTTAAATATAAAAAAATAACAGTATGTATTTAAAGGTGTAGGCTGGCTAATTCTGTTTCTTGCACTGGAAATCTTCTTTTGCAACACTCCCCAACCCTGTCTTATCAAGGCAGCTCCAAATCCCATTTAGTACAACGGTGTTGTAAAATGGTGTCCCTTATATAAAATGGCAACATCAAGCTTCACTATTGGGAATTTATATACAGCAGGCCCTTGGTATCCTCTGGGGCTTAGTTCTAGGATTCACCCCCCCCCCCATGGATAACAAAATCCATGGATGCTCAAGTCCCATTAAATACAAATGGTGTAGTAAACTGGTGTCCCTTATATAAAATGGCAAAATCAAGCTTTGCTTTTTGGAGTGTGTACATTTGTTAATATTTTCAAGCCATAGATGCTTGAATCCGTGGATACAGAAGGACGACTGTATTTTTTTGTATATTTTTAAGCCGGGGAGGGTTCAGTCCATGAATAAAGTATCCATGGATATGGAGGGCTGAATGTATTTTCTTGGGTTTGGGGTTATTCACACTGTGAAAATAATCCAGGATGAATCCAGGTTAAATCTCTGTAGTTCACACACATCCCGAATGCACCTGATTAAGTTTAACATCTTATTTTTATATTATTACGGTACTTTTTATTTTCCATATATTACATAATCAGTTTATTTGCTAATTTACTAATTTTACTCAAACATAAATACAAATTTAATCATGCATCCTTTATCCTACTACATCTTATATCTTCTGCTTACATTCCATAAAATCCTTTTATTATCACAAGTCTTGCTATCCTGCTATATTCTTATCAATCCTCCTAAATAATTTTTTCCATGTAATCCTCTTCTATATACATCATATCCTGCAGTCTAATACAGTTATTATCTATCCTTATACATCCTTCCACATTATATTTAGTTCAGGCATATCCCGTTTCTACTTCAATGTCTTTCTATGTTGTCTAGTTTCCAACTGTTAATGCATTAATTCTTTTCTTAATCTTCTACACTTAATACTGCTATCCCCCCCATTTCTCTTTTCAACAATATTATAACATCCTTCCAATGATCTACAAAATTATTCAAGTCTTTATCTTTACTTTTATGGATAGTTTATCCATATTCATCATATCATATAGTTTAATAAGCCAATCTTCTACTATGGGGATATGTTTTCAAATTTTTTGCAAATACAGTAGCCCCTCTGTTTTCATGGACTTCGGATCCACGTCCCTCGCTTATGCGCGAGGGACAAATCGAGGGGCACACAATGGGGTGCTCCCCTGCAGCATGCGCCCGCACCCCTGTGCCTCCATTCAAGCCTATGGGGCTTGAATATGTGTGGGCTTCCATTTTCACAGAGGGATCTGGAACGTTATTTTATCATGTTGTTTTATAGCTGTATTGTTGTATTTCATTATTGTTACTCGCCTTGATCCTTTGGAGAGAGGTGGGTTATAAAATTATTATTATTATTATTATGTAAAACAGAGGGCCAACTGTAATACTGTCTGCAGTTATCATATAAAGCAGCGACCCCCAAAATTTGGTTCTCCAGATGTTTTGGACTTCATCTCCTAGAATTCCTGACTCTTGGCCAAACTGGTTGGGGCTTCTGGACATTGAAGTCCAAAACACCTGGAGGACCAAAGATTGGGAACCACTGATATAAAGCGTAGTTCTACGAATTTTTCAATCTATTTTTACGTATATTTTAACATCTCATAAGGACACATCTTCTCCTCCTCTTTCAGGCAAAGACTCCGAGCGCCCTCCTTGCCTTTCTCTTCTCCCCCAGGACAGAAAAGGTTTGGGAAAAGCAGCCCACAGTTTGGTGGATGAGAATCATTGCTCTAAAACTGAACATTTGTGTCTGGCGAGGCAGTGCCTTGCAGGCAGATGGAAGAGGGAGGGAGGGAAGGAAGGAAGGAACAAACAGTGGGTGCCTCGACTTCCTTTGCACAACACATGAAAGGAATGTGGTGGTGAGCTCATGGCCCCCTCCACCCATCCTCAGAGGGTGCCAGGACTCTAGAAACTAGGCCCCGGGTCCTAGTTTCCCTCCGGTGAGGAAAGAGAAACGAAAATTGGCTGGCCACAAGCCACACTCCTCAGTCATGCCCGAAGCCTGGATGGTCAGGCCAGAGTCTGCCTGCAGACTTGCAGAGGGTTTGAAATAGATGGGAAAAATAAAACGGCTTCCAACCGCTTGGAAGGTGAGACGTTGATCAGATGCACACCTCCGAAGTAGGTGGAAACCTAAACGAAGCCATGCTCCCAGGCTAAAAACCGGAGCAAAAAGCCAGGATACTCCGGTTTAGCTCGGAGAATGCACATCTTTGCACTTGCATGCAAACAGCCCAGCGCCAGTGCAGGGCTATGGCAAAGCAAAGAAATGATAGAATCGTAGGACTTTATCACACGGGGGAAATCCCGGGCAGAAATGGGGTTTTAAATCGGGGGAGGGGGAAATGCAAAAGCGGGTTGGTTTTCACACGACGTCGTTGTTAAACAGTTGTTCACCCGAATGGAAAGTAGTCAAAAGCCGCTTCTTTTTTACTTTCGGAAAATCCCAAAAGTGAAAAGGAGTGGCTTTTGACTACTTTCTGTTCAGGTGAACAACAGTTTAACAACAACGTGTGTGGTAATCAACCCACTTTTGCAGGTTTCTCCTGCTTTTAAATCCTGTTTCTGCATGGGATTTCCTCCATGCGATAAAGTCCATAGAGTTGGAAGAGACCACAAGGGCCACCCAGTCCAACCTCCTGCCATGCAGGAATTCACAATCAAAGCACCCCCAACAGCCTTAAAAAGCCTCTGGAGGAGGAAACTCCATCCCTCTATGAGGGAGTGTGTTCCACCACTGAACAGCTCTTACTGTCAGGAAGTTCCTCCTAATGTTTAGGCAGAATCTCTTTTCCTGTAGCTTGCTTCTGTTGCTCTGGGTCTGTTCTCTGGAGCAGCAGAAAACAAGCTTGCTCCATCCTCAATATGACATCCTTTCAAATATTTAAACAAGGCTATCATATCACCTCTTAACCTTCTCTTCTCGAGGCTAAACATACCTAGATCTCTAAGGAGTTTATCACACAGGGGAAATTGGGAGTTTAAAATATTGTTAACCATGAAAATCATGCAATTGACATTAACATGTGTTTAAAATTACATTAACACAAATGCTGTTACCTCATGAAAAACCAGCGAAGAACCAGGCAAGAAACAGCAAAAAGTCATACAGGAGAAAATACTGTTGTTTCTTGCCTGGTTCTTCATGGGGTAATGGCACTTTAATCACGTTTCGTCTCAACATTGTGTGAAAACTATTAACGCAGTTGCACACAAGTGCAGGTCAATCATGGATTCCGCATGGGATAACAGCACTTAGCGCGCTGATGTGTGAAAACCATTCACGCTATTGCACACAAGTGCAGGTTAATAACGAATTCTGCGCAGGATAACAGCGCTTTACGTGCTGACGTCGTATGAAAACCATTCACGCTATTGCACACAAGTGCAGGTCAATCACAAGTTCTGCATAGGATAACAGTGCTTTACGCGTTGACGTGTGAAAACCACGCTATTACACACAAGAGCAAGTGCATCACGGATTCTGCATAGGATAACAGTGCTTTGCGTGCTAACATTGTGTGAAAACCATTTGCGCAATTGCAGGTTGATCACGGGTTAAACACTGTTTATACTTCCAATTTTTCATAGGATAAACTCCAATAGTCTCTCCATGGGTATTCAGCCTGCTTTGGGAATAAGCCGTGTGGGCAGCAGGGTTTCAACCCGTTTTTGAAAAAAGCAGGATTGAGACTCTCCAAAAGAACTATGTTTGCAAGCCTGTGTATGGAAGTTTACTTGGGATTTCCAATAAGCCTCATGCCATGTGCAACCAAATGCATCAAGAAAATACACCTTCAGGCGAGGCCAACCCAAGATATTTTTGCTGCCTGAGTCAGAAGAGCAAACATGTTAAGTTCTTAAGGCCAGTAGGACAGTCTGACATTTACAAGCTTGTTGGTGTTCTATAATCTATGAGTGCATCTTTGTTGTTGTGTGCCTTCAAGTCACTTCTGACTTATGGCGACTTCAAGGAGAACCTATCATGGGGTTTTCTTTGCAAGAGGTTGCATACATTATTTGGCTTTTGGTGTTACCCTTCCTCTAATAGGGCTGCATAGAACATTTTACATGCTTGGCTTCCATATGGTTTGTTGTTGTTGTGTGTCTCCAAGTTGTTTCTAATTTACACTTACCCTATAGTGAGGTTTTCTTAGCAAGATTTGTTCAGAGGAGGTTTGCCATTGCCTTCCCCTGAGGCTGAGTGTCTGTGACTTCCCCAACATCACCCAGTGGGTTTCATGGCTGAACTGGAATTCGAACCCTGCTCTCCAGAGTTGCAGTCCAACACTCAAACCACTCCGCCATGCAGGCTCTCATGGGTTCATCCTACACTGTAGAAAGAATAAAGTTTGGTACCATGTTAGCTGCCATGGCTCCATACATGGGGTTTGTAGTTTTGTGAGGCACCAGCACCCTTTAGCAGAGAAAGTCCTTGTAAAACTACAAATCCCACCATTCCATAGGCTGGAGCTATAGCACTTAAAGAGGTGTCAAACTGCATTATTTCTGTAGTGTAGATGCAACATAAGAGCTAGTGATTATCATTTTGTTCTCAGCTCTTTCTTTTTCTAGCTAATTTGAATTTTTTTTTTCCTCCATAAATTTCAGAAATAATTTCTTTGAAACAGTATCAATACTGAAGAATGTTTGAGACAGGAAAATATTTAGAAGTCCTGTTTAACCTACATCCTCACTTCATCAACATCTGGTTGTGCCAACGTTGGAGTATTATTGTTTTTATTCATTTAGCCTTTTTGCAACATGTTGCGTCACACACACTGAACATTAATTTTGGTATTGTTTGTGCATTCTTTTTAATACCTATGCGTGCAATTGCTGTGTGTTCTATCATTGTTTTACGTTCGTTTAGCGTTTGTGTAGTCTTGGCTTTTGCAAATTGTGATTTTTGTAATTATATAATTTATTTCACATGTTTTTCTGTGGTGTTCTTCTTTAGCATTTTGGTTGTTATGGAAGACTTGAAGCTCGCTAATTTATTTTGGTACAGTTAAGTTCCACAACTACTTTCCCATTCCCAGGCAGTAAAAATGCAGCACCTAAAAATATGCTGCTCTTTCTTCACACTCAAAGGCCTAAATTTAGCCCTATCTAGAACAAATCCATTCAATCAATGGGAATTACCTATGTGCTTATGCACCATTCAACAATTATTTTATTTATACCCACCTTGAATCCCATTTGGGGAGAAAGACAGGATATAAACCCAATAAATAAATAAATAAAAGTTATTGAATTTCTATCCCACCTTTCTTGCAAATGGGATTCGAGGCGGATTACACGGATTGAAAAAAGATACAGCTAAATCACTAATGTATAAAAGCTAAAAACGAAATAAATAATACTACAGTGAGACTATGGGCCTTTGCAGACTGCCAGAAATAGTGCAAATTGA